CTCGAAGGTAGAAAATGCATATTGTCTGGTGTGCGTGAATTTATTGGCTTCACAAAGGAAAGAAAATACTTGTATGGCGTCATGGGATGCGTAAGGGATTTTGTTTTGTCGGTTCCTCTTTAAGAAAATGGCGTCTTTTCGCGGCCGATGCACCAAATAAAGAGACTATCCACTATAGCAGTATATGCGTTTAGTGTAGTCGTGCCACGCGGTATAATTGTGTAACTGTTTCCCAATAGAGGCAACCGAGCAACAATTTTATATAAGATGAATAGCGTTATACTGCAACAGGAAAGTAATACAACAACGTAGGATTAACGAATCAAACTTATGCGAGTGCTCATGCGTATTGAACCCGAATGTGTGTAGAGGCCGGGGTGAGAGAGCGTGAACTCGGAAACTGAAGACTGGAATAGAGGATTGCCGAATAGAAAGAACTGCCTTTTCTTGAGAACCGCTGTCCTTTTATACCCCTGGGATCAAAGTCCAAAGTCCAAGAAGGCCACCCAGGGGTCAATCAATTCCGAGGGCTTGCGTGGGGTCTGCATTGATGTGCGGTAGATCGACCCCCATGACCGACCAATTGCAACTTGGAGTTGCAATAGGGTGGAAGACTGTCTTAGTTTATCATGTCGAAGCACACAATCCATGGTAACTCGCAGTTCCGCAGACCCTATTCTCTGCGCTGGACATGGGAGCTCCTGATGGGAGGTTCCATGAAGACCTCGACCGTATCTTCAATCAAAGGTTTTGACGTATTGCGTCGCTGTTGTTCCAGTTCTACCGGTATTGGACCACCGTGTTCCAGTTCTCTCTGGACCAGATAATCGTCTCCTTCGCGCAAGATTCCGCTTTTTGAGGGGAGAGAAACTCGCAATCTTCGAGAAGCGAATTCTCAAGACTTCCATCAGGACCACTTCACTTCTCCCACTGGGGTTTTACCAAAAACATCGACAAGGAATGTGAGCAATTTGTAAACCATCTGCATGGCTGCGCCAAGGAATGGAGAAGTTCCAGGGTCACTAAGAAGCATTGGTCGCTGAGAACTAGAGAGCTGTTTCGCCAACGTGAAGCTGCGCAACCTGCTAGCAACTAGCAATTGACGTTCGAGCTTTTAAAGTTGCAGATGAGCGACAGAGGGAAAACTGAATTAGAGAAAAGCAGTGCTGGTGAAAGCATCAGAGGTAGTGAGAGCTCGCGTAGCTCGCCCTGACTTCACCGGCTGTAAGAGCAGCATGATCGGCACGACACGATCATTCTGAGCAGGACTGGCAGAACTCTAGATGAAGAACAGCCACGCGAGCAAGAAGGGCTTTTGAAGATGACTCAACAGATCGATTAGAGTTAGGGTTGCGTCCGACATTTTCCAAAGTTTCAAATATCAGGTGGGCCGGACACGTCGTGCGATTTGAGGCTGACCACTGGACTTAGGCAGCGTTCAGACTTCGCGACGGCAGCGCTTCGGTCGCGCGTTCGACGCGATCGATGCGCATGCTTTCGACTGCATCGATCGCGTCGAACGCGCGACCGAAGCGCTGCCGTCGCGAAGTCTGAACGCTGCCTTAAGCGACTCGATATTGTTGGATGTCAAACGAATACGTGAACACGAACACGGTAAGGTAATACGATAGACGAGCGGATACATAGTGGTTGTAAGAAAAAGTTGTGGTGCAGAGTCCACTCGCTGTGACTGCAGCAGCTATACTGTTGCTTGCCTTACAAGCAGGTCAAGTCGCTTGATATGATGTCACTGCTTTCAGCTGTCTGCTTCTACAAACAGTAACTCTCATGAGTCTAGCATGAATCAGGGGACATAATTCCAATAGCATTCACCAGCTTTTCTGTAGCCACCATCTCCTTTTTCCTGATGTTTCGACCACTACGCAATCACCCCCTTCCTCTTTGCATTTGTTCCTTTTGATCTGGTGTCTCTCAAAGCACTACTAGCCAAATCCTTTATTTTGCATGGCTCAACAGTGAGGTAAGAAGTTCTTCCCACACGACTATGCAACCGCTTGCTCTATCGTAGTACTACACCTCTTCATCGATTTTTACAGACTATCATTTCACATTCGTTGTTTTATATAATTCACGTTTTCCACGTTTTCTGCTTCTTAGCTCAATTACATTTGCTGATGGACCAATCAATTCCTTCGATGGTCCTGATGTAAAGGCCGAGTCGAGGAGAGATCAGTATTCAGCGAGCAACCAACTAAATGACGTAACTCCACACGCGAGTCTGTCAAGAAGCGAGAGAGTTCAGAAGTGAGCATTCTTGACAAACACCAGACACGTCATTTCAGTGAAGAAGATGTAGGGCCAAACTGACGCCAAAGGTGAAAGTTTACATCTGTTTGTGAAAAGGTGATGGACAAATGTCACTGGCGCGCGAAACTAATGTTATGCTTATGACCAGAGCAGTGAATAACACTTATATGCAGAGGTTCAGCAAAAAGTGAGCTTGAGGTGGCGATAGTTTATTGCTAAATATGCACATACTTAGCCTAAACTTTAGCGTCTCATTGTTAGTATTCTGAATGGTGTGTCCAGCAGTCTTTGTTCACCAGTATGAATAATCTGGATGAAATATGGATTCCTGCGTTCAAGTTTTGAAATGCAGGAATCCTCACTAGCAATGCAAGGTCTTCTCAAAGTTTGTTTAAGGTGACTGTTTTCCACTACCTCCGCCTCTTTCAACCAGTTGTGAATCTTCCAAATGGTTCCACACAAGTGATCACTGAACATTATGATGAGATTGTGAGTCCCTCATTTTTGTTCTTCTAGGATTTCATGAGCACCTATAAAGCACCTTCACACCCCTTTCAAACTTACACGATAGCTCTGATGTAGCACAGGTCCGCGGCTCAGCATGTTACTTTTTAGAGATTAGCGTCTTGACGTTGATGACACAACATGTTGATGACGTGTTTTGAGACGTTGGTAGTGATGCAATGCGGTTCCTCGTCATTTACGTGCTACTTAATGTCTCATCTCACAAACGATACGTTACAGCCCAACTAACAACAACTAGCCTCCATAGCAGCACTCAGGATTCGCTATCACACGTTGGCGCGCTGCCATTGCAGTGGCACTCCAATGCTACAGGGGAACGGAGACACAGACGGGTGCCGATCGGCGCCAGCCGTTAGTGTTTTGTGAGAGTACAGGGTAGTATGCTTTATCAACGTCCTGTACTCTCTCAAAAAACTACTGGAAGGACGGTAAACAGCAGTCGTGCCTCAATTCGTCCGCAGCCAATCGAAGCGATATTTATATGTGATATACTCCAGTTCGCAGCGATTTAAGCGGGAGGGGGTGCATGGAGTGTGAGCGAGCCATGGCTCCAAACCCTGCCTTTGCCAGTCATTGAAGCGGGTATGCGTCAACAACTGGTAAAAATCGTGTGATACGAAAGATATTATACAGTATTTTCATTGCTCGCTTCAACAACTGGATGAGAGCGCGTTTGGTATATCGCCAAGCTCATCTAACGCCTGACACGCCCCTTCTCCACCGCGAAGTAGGCTATACTGACTTTTCTGTGTGTACATCGGTTGATGCGGTCACATTACGCTGACGTGTCATCACATGTTACGCTAACCGTTTTCTTTGTAGAATTCGTGCGAAACATCAGAAAGTTATTTCTGACTGAACTATGTGATGTGCCCAATTTGGGAAACATGAACTTCAAATCCAACATTCACGGCTTCATAATATTCATCAATAACTGAGATTTTGTGGTTTTGTTATTGTGAGCTTACCCGACTCGAGGGGCGCGTACCATACCTGTCACGATCCTTATCCTATCATCTGTATTACCTGTTATGAATTGTGACAGTTTGATCGCGCTTACGACAGCACTTCACGATCCAGTGTTAAAACCGTGCCGCGACCGAGGGAAAATATGCTGAAGCAAATTTTGGTATCTACCTTACGTTAAACCACAGGCAGGCCTACTGATACCCGTTATGGCTGCGTTCCCTTCGGAGCGCTATTGCAATGGCAGCGCGCCCACGCGCGTCGTCGCGATGTCTAGATGCCGCATAGCAATGAAGATAACGGACTCATGCTGTGCGTACTCAGCAGAATGTTCATAAATTCTTTGTTTCAAGCTTTAGCTCTGTTGCTTGGAAGCAGAATTTTCAGGTTTTCCAAGAGCCAACAATACCAATGTATAAAGCGTTGACGATTGGAGAAGGCAAGAAACACGACAGGAAAAAATTTCACACCGATTGTGAGGACTTGTTGTTAGCTTTTTTTCTACATGGTGAGGATGTAGAATCATGGAGAACTCTTCAATGTCATACTGGAGGGTGATACCAGTTTAACACCTTATCTTGAATGCTATTTTCTTCAAATGATGCGGGTTGCAGCCACGTTTGTACAGTGGTCTCTGTGGCTTCCTTTCTCGGGACAGGGTGGTCTTCGTACTCTCGCAGAGTTTTCGTGACACCTTCACAATAATGTGGACGGAACCACATGGCAAAATTCCAGCTGTGGTAGTAGTAATATTTTCAGTGCTGCAAGTATGTCGACGATCTGTACAGAAGGTGAATCAGGCGAATGAAGAGATTTTGCAAGAAATCGAGGATTTACGCGAGTCATTGCGAGCTGCGCAGAAACTCTTATTGCGTTACAAGAAGGGTAATGATCCTGATTCGAACAGCTCTACACCTGATGTATCGATTTGTCAATAGAATATGTTGAAGGGAGTTTTTATCAAATGATCTCAAGGGCTTGTTTTTTTCTAATTTGTACATTTTATGTTCTGTTTGTCTTGACAAAGATTATTGCAAAATGGGGACTATTTTGAACAGGATTTTTGTATCTGTTAGTTTGCGACGGCTATCCAGTGTTGCGTCATTAGCAAGGCTTACTTGTTAAGAATGCCTGGCGAGTAACTGAACCTTTTTGTCGGCCGATGTCCGATGTGAGTCGTTCCATCAAGGTATTTGCCATAATTTCAATGTCACAACGTGTACGATGTGTCTTACAGAAGGTGGCTGCCCTATATGAGTAAGCCGACGCTGTCAAAAAATTACTGTTTTTGTTCACACATCCAGTTCCTTTTGTTGCTTAGATTGTTAAGTAACTCCCTAGTGAAGTTAAGTTGTTCACTTTGTTAACGATTGCTATGTTGGTATGTGCGTGAGTGTACTTTTCAGAAAACTTTTAGGTAAAGCTCGCGTCTCCTCGAGCGTTGTCATCAATCTTTCAGCATTTCGATTAACATCTCATTTTTTTTGTTTGTATACACAGTCAATAAAGAAGTCATGGTCGAAACGCGAAAATGTTTTAGCTTTCAGCTGAACAGCCTTTGTTTTACTAACGCTTCTCTTTTGACGACTTCCCGTTAGAGCTGAGTTACTGATAGTGAGCTATTATGCTGAAGTGGAAATTCGTAAGCTTGGTTCTCTATTTATGTCTTAGCTTGTCTCCTTCAATGGCTCCAAGTGAAGCACAAGCGTGGCGGCTGCTACTATCGACGGCAGGGTCAGCATCGTGGTGTGTGAAATGGCGGTGTCATTCCTCCCCTTCCCGCCTTTCTGCTCTAATTGTTTGCTCTGACGAGGAAGAATCAGATCCGTAACGACTCGCAAGCGCTTGCGGCCGTGCTCTGATTGCATGGCAAATCAGCGGTGGCTTTGGTCGGGTGGAAATCGTGGGGCTTTTTTCTGCGGAGGCAACTTTTTTAGGTGTGCCTTTGAGAAACGGAGGCGGCATGTCGAACAATGTCTCTACTGTTGCGCTTTCTGCCTACTTTACTGCAATCTGGATCTTTCCCTGTCCGTGAAATATAGATTGGAAGGAACGTCTTGTCTTTATTGTGACTTTTTTCTTTTTTATTCTAATTCAACATACAGTGGGAATTAGTCAACGATATACTCGTCACGGTTAGCCACTACAGTGCTCCACCAATGGACAGGTAAGCATTCCCCTCCTCCCAGAACTGAGAAGGCTGCGAGTAGAGTAAGTCAGCGGCCTCTCGACTGATGTCATCAAAGTTGCTTGAAGTTTTCTTAGCTAAGAAAGCCTTAAGGAGGCGGAGCAGGTAGCAGTCGTAGGGGACTACGTCAGGAGAATATCATGAGCGGGGACTGGTCTCCAGCCTTGCTCCTCAATCATTTGGTAGGTCTTCATAGCAGGTATGGGGTCTCGGGTACTCTGAAGGAGGTGACCCGAAGCTAGTTTCCGTCATGTTTTACCAACAGTTTCCACCGGTTTCAGGAGCTGAGCGACACAAATGGTAGCGATGACCGTCTGTTCTTAGAGGGCAGCTCGTTCTGCAGTATCACACCCGCGTCCCAGGAACAGCACAGGAGAACCTTCTCGGAATACATGCCCGGTTTGGACTGCTAGAATGGATCTTCTTGAGAGAGACAAACGGTACTGTGTGGGTTGAAATCATAGAGGACCCATCTCTCATCCCCACTAAGCAGTCTCCGGAAACTCCTTCTGACGAGGGCAGAGAAGGGGAGTCTGACCAAGGGGTACCCGGGTGCACAGCGTGCCATCGGTCAAGGTATGAGTGATCCATCGAGCCAATACTTCTTGGTAGGGCTTACAGGCGGTGGACGACTGTCAGTTAGGTACATCCGAGTCTTGTCGCAAGACTGCGGGTGGTAGCCTCCGGACCCTCCTTGACAGCTTCGAGAACGGTGAAACCTTTCACTTCGTTGAGGCGTCCCGACCGAGGTTTGTCTTCAAGGATCGAGTCTCTTTTCGAAGCGAACTAAAAGTGAACAGTCCTGACGGTAGTAGTGTCCTCCCCCAATACACTGTTGATGTTACGGACAGCTGCCGTGGCTCCAGTGCCGCGGGGCCACTGATAGAAGATGATGACCCGAAGATACTCCTGTGAAACTGACATCGTAATTAAACCCAGGGAAGCGCAGGCGCCCTCACACACCTCTTGCAGGGAAGCTCTTAGAATGTTCTACAAGCATAGCATGTTACGTCATGTACGAGCATCGAGAATCAAAAACTGGAAGCTTTTCAAAAACACTGACAGGACTTTCCTTCCAACCTATATTTTGGGTGGGTTACGGACACGTTAGCTCTGCAGTTTTCCTGAAGACCCGCTAGTTCAGAAGATTAGTTCAAGAGTTTAGAATTAGATGGGTCACAATTGGGCGAGATTCTGAAATTCACAAGCTCCTCCTTCTGTACCATTGAGAATACTTATTCGCCAACTTGAATACACTTTCAAAACACATTGACGTTGGACTGACAATGAGTCAAAGCATAAATTGGTTATCATCGATCATATGGCCCGATTGTGCCCGTGCATTACGCTTCTACGCAGAGGTTTCTACTGTTTTATGCTGCGTTTACGACTTCACCTCCGTCCCCAGCGGCGAAGTACGACCCCCCCCCCAGATGGGTTTTGCACAATGCTGTACGGTTGACTTTTGATGAAAGGACCGCTCATCATCCAGCAGTCAACAGATTTAGTCGTTGAAAACAAATAGATGCCCCCAGGTAACGCACAAAGTAAAACTAACTGGTCAGGCTAATTCATAAGCACGGTCCGGCGTGTTGTGTTGTAGTGTTGCCTAATTACTCAGCCCGGTAGCCTCCTGTTCTCCCACACGACACTAAGAAATCCACGCCGATTGATACCCATATATGACTGCGTTTCCTGTCCACAGTACTGGAGCGCTGTTGTAATGGAACGCGTCATCGCGACGTCCAGGCGATAGCCAACGAAGTTATCCTTCCAGCAAAGAACGGTAATCCACCCGAAGCATAACCATTAATAGTTAGGATGTCACGTGGTGATATATTGTATGGCAATGTGGAGATCATGCATTAATGGGAGCTGGCGTCAAGCATCAGCTCGTGGACATTGGGGAGGAGGTTCAGGGTGTAGTTGTATATAGTTTGGTTCGCTGCGGACGGTTGGGCGTGTCAGGCGGGATAAGTTTGGCGCGGTGCTAAACCCGTTCTCCACCAGTTGTTGAAGCGAGCAAATTATATGACTGTATCATAAAGGATAAAGTCTTCGCCGTTGATCAATCCCTTTGTGGGATGCGGCACGCATTCTACTTCCATTCAGAATCGTAGTGGCTTATTGAATGCGATGTGGCCTATACAATGACTTGCGGTGGCCAGCCGATGTACAAGTCAGTGTTTTATCCTCCCAGACGAATCTGGTACCAATTTACCGTCCCCGGAGGGTAGAAGGCTTGGTTGGCCTGGGCGGGACGACCCGGGATTCGAACCCGGCGCCGCGCGAAGGGTAAGCTCGCCACTTGTCACTACACCACCTCCGCCTCATGACTGTATCATATCGTTGGTATTACTCGTTTTCTACCATTTTTGTCGCATGCGCGCTTCAACAAGAAGGCAGAGAACGGCTTTGACGGGGTGACACACTCATACTGCCTGACACGCCCAACCGTCCGCAGCGAACTAGAGTGTATATTATGGAAATTTTAGCGAATGAGTGTCTAGGACAATTTACCAAACCAATCGAATGACTGAATAGATTAGTTCCTCAGAAATAGGAAAATGCACGAAGTGAAACTCCGAAAAGACCTTACAATGACGCCGTCCAAACAAAACAACACGAAGCCGAGGCATTGAGAGTCTCCCGCTGCATGCCACACAGTAATTTTAAAACAGTATAACTTCCATCTTTTCGGCAGCCGCGGTAGAAGGCGATTCAAATAGTTGTGATGGAGCAGGATCTATACGAAGTAACCTACTAGCTATACATCAACCTTTCAATCTTGCGGTCAGCTTCTGACCAGAAAATAAATAAATTTTTGGCGAGCGCGAGTTTTTCTTAGCATTTTGAAGGCCATAACATCGTCAAAGACATGACATGGAGAGAAAACCTGCACAGTTCAGGAAATGGAAGGTTTTTCTTTCTGATGAGCTCAACAACTTCGCTTTGACTGACAAGAAGTGCCCCGTTTGCGGTTCCTCGCTCCTGGATGCGTTTTCAGCCGCAGTGTAAAAGATCACCCCTCCCTACTATGAAGCCGCGTAGTATCATTCAGAGCACGGATGAGTTTTCAGTACAATCCTTCTGGGAACGAAAGCACGGTGAGTTTTCAGTACACCTTCTGCCAATGTGTTGAATAGGACTCATGCAGCACAGAGGCGACGTTCAGCATCTCCCTAGAATGCGTCATGTACATTCTTTCCGGACGCACCACCCATCCTGCAAGCTAAGTCATTGCTGTGTTCAGTGCTGATCTCTGCGAACACGACCCCTCCTCCTGTCGAGAGGGCTGAATACGATTCCTGCTTGCATCTCGCCCTTAAAGCAGTTGGCACTGTAACCCTCAAGACATGTAGGATTAATACGCCTGGCAGGACGGAATTCCGCGACCCTGAGCAGGCGCTGCATAGCGCCTTTTCCAAGAAGGTGCCCTTATAAGGCCCTATGAAGCTACAACATGCCGACCCGAACGCCCGCCACGCCCGCCCGCCCACAAATGGACGACCGTTCCTGACGCTCGTACTGCTTCATTTGCTAAGCAAATTATGAAGCGAAGGGATTGGTATGAAGCGGCCGTGATGCTGCATGGATATATGAGTACACATATGCAGCCGTATCTTCGGTAGCGGTTATTGGCAAGATGCCTACGGGAAACTCGTCCGAAATCGATTTTCAAGTCACTGAGAACGGAGGCTTTTTCTTCGCAGGATTTTGACCGTTTCACTCCGTTCTTTCGCCATTTCC